CGTCTTGGCCGGCGCCTGGGGATGCGCCCTGGCCGGCGCCTTAGCCGGTGCCTTGGCCGGCGCCTGGGCCGGTGCCTTGGCCCCCCTCCTCGGCTTTTGTGGAGCCGATGGAGTAGGGGCAGACGCCGCCGCCGCGTAAGAAACGCGGCCTCCCACAACGGGGAGCGCGGTCGGAGCGGCGGCCTTAGGCCGCTGTGCCGACGCGAGCGGGGGGCGCATAATCGGCGCAGGAGGCAATCTCGCCTCCAGGCCAGCCAGGCGTCCGTCCAGCATATTCCCAACTGCGATGAGGATTTCTCGCAGTTGGGAGTCAAATGCCCCTGAGTTGGTGGTAGGGGCAGGCTGGGACGCGGACGGGGCTTCCCGCTCGGGGAGGTTCGCCTGGAAGCGGGCGAACTGAGCGCTCAGCTCGTTCACCCGCTCCGTCAGCTTCTCGTTGGCCACCTGCAGGCGAGAGACGTCGCCCGCTAGGCCCTCCACGACCTCCGACAAAGCGGAGGAGGAGTCCTTAAGGGCCCTCACAAACGAGCCCTTAAGGTTCACGGATTTGGTGGCCACCTTGTTGATGACGGCCACCGCCGCTTTCGCCCTCTCCTGCACGGACACGGGAGCCTGGGGGGCATTTCCCCCCACCGGCTCCCGAACCTTGAGCAGGAGATCCGCGATCTCCTCCTCCGCTACGGCCTCGCCGTCCACCCGTACACTTCTGTAGGACTCCGCGTTTGAGAACGCGGAGCCTGACGGGGTCGAGACCGAGGCCGAGGCCGGTTTACGTTGCCTCCCTCGGCGGCTGCTTGCCACCTTTGGTGGCATCATTTCTTGGGACGTATCCGTTTCCTCGTCCCTGGAGCGTCCGCGTTTCCGGCTGTCGCTTCGTTCCGCCTCCATGGCCTCCGCGCCATCCGACGAAGCGGCGGATCCGGAACGCAGCCGATCCGATGCTCTTCGGCTCCCAGAGATCAGAGTCAGACTGACTTCTGGGAGCCCCATCGAGATGGGCGTTCCCGATGCCACCTCACCCTCAGTGGACGACCCATCGACTCCACTGTGCCTCTTCTCCCTTGCACCTTTTGTTTCAGTGTCCGTTTTGCTTGCCTGGTTTTGTTTGTTTTCCGTTTGTGTCCGTTTCTTTGTATTTTTATTTGTATTCAAATTCATAATAAATCCCACGAGTGGGGGAGAACTAAAAGGTCCACCCGGGCAGAGATCCCCCATTACCCGGGCAAGCGTAAGTTTTTAACCCAACCGAGGGGTCCGCAGGTACCTCGGCTTGGAGTGCGCTCGCGACTGAACTTCCCATCAGCCATGCATCCCCTGGCCACGCACCAGAACACGGGATTCGGGGAATTTTTTAGAGAGGTTATCTTCCTCGCGGTCCGGGCGGTTAAGCCAAGACCCTCGCCCCCGATCAGAGCCGCGAGACTTAACCACAGCGCTCTTCTCGGGATTACGATATGCCGACGGTTGACAGGGAGACTACGTCCCCCTGCCTGCTCGGTGGTAGTGTGAGTACACGCCGAGCCCGTCCTCCTTTCTCCACCGCTGTCAGCGGAGAAACTGTGGCCCCTACAGGGCCCCGCCATCAGGTTTTTTACCGAGGTTTCCTCCTCCATGCTCCGAAGAGCGAAGAGCCAGCAGGGCAACCGGCAGACACGCCCACCCTGCTGGACCAGGCCTTGCCCGAGAGCCGATGAACGGCTGCCTCTTCTGCTAGAATATTGGCCGCTGGCGATAATCCTCTCCTCCAAGAGGACAAGGAGGAGACAGTACCATCGCCAGCGTTTCCAGGGTGCACCACGAGGAGGTTTTCTAGCCCAGCACACCAAACCCTATACCAACCCGTGGAGTAGTAGGCCAAAACCTCCTTTCTGGGGAGAGGCCTATGTCGCGCAGTGGACTATTAAAGGCTGTTGATGATGATTGATGATGATGAAACACTTTTTTAATCACTCCCCACACGTGCTAGAAAACTAAGTCCAAAATAGCGACGTTAAAATAACACCCATGACTAATGGTCTAGATATTCCGGTAGTAAAAGTTACAACTATTCAGTATTCTACACGTTAATACAATAATACAGCATGCATAGGTATGTTCTCTATTTTAATCGATTCAGGCTTCTGATTTGAATTTAGATGAGTCTGTTTATTTATTTAAGGTCTACCTTCAATTATTAACATTTTAACTTATCCCAAGTTGCAAAAATACAAAAGTTTATATTACAAATACTTAAACACCGCATTTAAAATAGTTTAAAAATACAGACAGTAAGCTAATATAATGTAACTAGTAAGTGTAGACATTTAAAAAAATACAATTTCAGTTTAATCTACCAAAAGACCTACCTGATTCTACATAATGTGTAGAATCAGGTAAGTTCACCAGTTTTGATTTAACTGTTGCCACAGGGTCACAGTGAAGATCTATTTTTTCACTATACCTAATTATTGATTTACCCAATTGCAAGCATCGGGGGTAGGCACCTAGAACAGTCCTTTTAAGTGGTGGAACAAGTGGTGTAATAGAATAGCGCGGAATCCTAGCTAGTACTTACAGCTTAATTTAACTTATCAGTTGTTGACAGTCCATGTTTGATGCAAATACTTTACAACCAAGCACTATCTCATTGAGAAGTCTACGAATTGCCAGGGAACGCATTTGAAAGTACTTAAAGCCTACTTTTGTAAGCACGTATTTTCTTAGTTTCACTATTCAAAAAACAAGGTGCCAAACAAAGCGTTTTTGGATACGTTCAATAGGCAGCGAATGTGTGACGTAACGCGGAGGCTAGACTGTCCCACAATATTCTAATGCTACGAACGCTACGAACAAGGCAATTGTAAACTAATATTTTCGTGATTTTAATTCGATAAGCTTTGCAATTATTAACGATACTAACCCGCTTTTGAACAGACTTAAGAAAAAGTGACCAATTCCGTTGTATTTTTAATGTTCGTTAGCTCAGAGCTCCATAATATATGAACCTATTTGGATAATGTTTAAGCCCAAAATCGATCTAAGTGGCGTGCAATGGGAGAGGCGTATGTCCAGCAGTGGACTGCGATACAGTGGCTGATGATGAGGACAATGTTTTTTTTCATTTGGGAAGTTATAAATCTGCTCTCTGTTTGGTGGAAAGCTAATTAATGAAGAATACAATTATTATTATTAATCACGATTCTACAACATTTTATATGAGAAAAGTTTAAAGAAAATAATAATATTATTCTACCACATTCACACAACGCCATCTAGTCCCAAACTAAGCAGAGCTTGTACTATGGGTACTAGACAACTGATATAAATACATATATACTTTTTTTTTGTAAATAAATACATATTTTACATAGAAAAACAAAGACAGAATCAAACATCAAATGTTCATGCACACAAATGTTTGACTTCAGCGGGAATCGAACCCACGACCTTTGGAATAACAGTCCGTTACACAAACCACTACGCCATGCAGTCGTCAAAATAGTTAATAAAAGAAGTATTAAATGCCAAAAGAGAACAAATAATTACTATTAATTAAGGGTTGTTCCTAGAACGTAGTCTAATTAGAACGAAATTTATTTTTAACGGTACTAATGGAAATATATTGGACGAAGAAAATGAGCCCGAACTGTGTAATGGCTGTTAACTTTATTTTGTGGTTTTACTTTCAATTGCTTCCGGGACTTTGAAGTACTTTGTTGGAATGGTTGAAGCTCAAACAGGGTTTTTAAAGGTTTTTGGGCATTGGGACATTGTTTTAGGGTAAACGTGTTTCGGCAGTTTCGATCTTGTGATCGTATGGACGGTTAAGAATACGGAGTGTCACCACTCCTATTAATTCCATGAATGTTGTAAGAGCCGACTAAGGATAGATGGCGATGTAGTATGTTTCTTCGTTTTTTCTGTGAGACCGTGTTACCACTCCGGTTGAGCCAGTTCATTTGTAAGCAAGCATGACTCTCCCATGAATATTGCTCATACGACCAGAATGTGTAAATACAATAGCTCGAGAATGTGAGCGTTGCATACCTGTAACTTGTACTAGCTGTTGCCTGATAGTGTGAGCCATCTAATCGCACTTGAATGAGGTTCTTGGATCTTTATTAAAATAAACTCACTCTGTTCAAAAAAGAGTTATTACCTTGCAATCATTCATTTTACTTTAGCTCTAAATAAGGCATAGAAGTGTATACAGTTCTTAGCAAGGTAACATAGGATTATTGTTTAAGATAAGAAGGTTCTGGCCGTCACCCAACCGGGACTAAAGGTACTTTGGGCTTGAATCGAGTAAAAGCAGAAAATGGTATGTAGTTGGATTTATAACCTGAAAATGTTATGTAGTTGGTCTTATAACCTGAGCTTCAGGTGAGGTAATTTACGTGCAGTATCCTCGGTGTTCTTTTTTTTATGTTAGAGGGGGCAGACGAGCAGACGATTCACCTGATGGAAAGTGACCATCGCTGCCCATGAACGTCTGCAACTCAGCAGTCACAAACGCGTTGCCGGCCTCTTAGGAAGGAGTACGATCTTTTCTTTAAGGTCTGAAGGTCGTATCGGTCCGGCAATACCGCAGACGATAACCCGTTCCACAGATTGGTTGTGCGCCATAAAAGTGTCTCGAAAAGCGCACAGTAGTGAAGCGCCAACTATCCAGGTGATGAGGATGAAAATTTTGCCGTGTGGAACGATGGCGGAAAATTGCGGCTGATATTAGTCCGAAAAATTCTCTCTCTATATTATCCTTATATGTTCCTTATATCCTTCCTTATATTATCCATGATATATGCGATAGAGAATGCAATGTGCGGATCCTATGCAGCCTCATCATCATCATCGACATCGACAGCCTTTACTAGTCCACTGCTGGACATAGGCCTCTCCTTAGAAAGGAGGTTATGGTTATGTTATGGCTATGCAGCCTAATTAGAGTTAATTTCTGACCGTATCCCTCGCCGAAAGTACGACATTGCACCTATTATTCCCAATTACCTTCTCCGTGTCAGTCAGTTGTCCTGGAAACGTCCTACAGTCTCCACTCTGAGATCGGTTTGCTCCATCATCAATCCTCGACACAGGCGACCAATCCATTGCAACTTCTGCAAGCTCATTCTACGAGCTATAACAGTAACTTTGGTTCTTTTTCGCAAGACCTGAGGTAGTCTGTATTTAGTGTATGACTCATTATTTAAATGTAATTTTTTTTACGTTATTCTTGTAATGACGCACCTGACACTCTTAGTTCTGACGCAAGTTGTCTTTATTAAAACATTAAAATTGTTAAAAGTACTAAAATTGTGTTACCGAGAACGGAACAATACGGCTAGATAATGTATTACTAGTATTTATGTAAACAGTCAATTTATAACAAAGTTATTGTTTACAAAGACGTTAATTGGGATGTGTAACGGTTTCCTTGAATTGTGGTGTGAAGCTGTTGGTGTACTTTGATATTTTATTTACAGAGTGATCATGTAAACTTGTCAATTGTGAGCAAGTAAAATAAAATAGGCATATTTTATATATTTACATAACTGTATGCAGGGCATTCACACACACACACACACACACACACACACACACACACACACACACACACACACACACACACACACACACACACACACACACACACACACACACACACACACACACACACACACACAACCACGGACACACAATAGGTATATATACACAATTCAAATGTCTATGATCACTCGGTGCATAAAATATCAAACCACACCAACAGGATCACATCACAATTCAAGGACATATATATTTATATATGCACAAACATACATATTTATATTCGTACACTATGAATATAAGAAAATTGGTTGGTTGCTATCGATTGGATGATTCTGCTATCTCGTTAAGAAGGTCATGTACCTTCTTTTTAAACACGGAATGGTTCGAAGACATCCTGACTTCAAACATGGAACACATGGATGGCTCTACCAGTACGGTAGAGCAATCCATGTGTTCGACATCACGACCTCACAGAAAGACTGTGTTAAGTAAATCTTTAGTTACGTTTCACAGAGTGAGTGAGGTAACGGGGCCTCACTTACTCGGTCAATTTAGCGGACTGGGTGTTAATACGTGTGCTAACCGAACTAAAACTGTGGTTTTATTATTGTTGACTTACCTGTATCGTCCATTTTCAAAGTTGTCGCTCTTGACGTACTCAATAAACTGGGCCAGATCTGCCAGCGCCTGATCAACGGTTAGGTAAGCCAGGCCAGGTAAGCTGGTGTCCCTGAAATCAGAAGATATAACATTATCACATAGCTTTTAGGGTTTAGAGAGAAGGAATGTTCAAACCCTTTTTTTTTTTTTTTTTTAACGTGTGGCAATCCCCTCGGACCGTCACCCCACCGGGGTTTGCGGCGGGGTGGTGTGTCGGACTCGAACCGACTAAAACCACACGGTGTGCCCTCTTTGCGCTTCCAGTTTAGGAGGGGTCCAGGTAGTTATCGCCTTCTGGACCCCTCCTAGCGCCGGCCCGCTCCTACTGCGGGCCCCGTCTCAAAATTTTCCTCTCTTTAGGCGACGTCTGGCACACGCGGACGCCGCCCCCTCGCAGCTGGCCAAACTAATGCGGGTGGAGGGGAAACCCACCCCATCCACCCGCGGCCACACTCAGGGCGGCATGAGGCGCAGGTAGGAATGTTCAAACCCTATACCAACCCGTCTGGCCAGCGTGGTATAGTAGGCCAAAACCTCCTTTTTAAGGAGAGGCTTATGTCCAGCAGTGGACTATTAAAGGCTGTTGATGACAATGTAGGTTTTTTTTAACTATATAAATTGTTCTGGACATAATCTAGGTAAAAACAGCGGAACATTTAAAAAGTGTAAAAGTATTCTATCAGGCAATCTAGCTTTCATAATACAAGCTCTGCTTAGTTTGAAACTAGATGGCGTTGTGTATAAAATGTCCGAAAATATTATTATTATTATCTTATGATGGGTCTGTTGGTCTAGTGTTTAGTGATCCTCACTGCTAATACAGAGGTCTTGAGTTCGATGCCTACATAGAACAAATAAGTGTGGACAAAAATGTTTAGAACTATTTAAGTATGTTTATCAGCAGTCTGGTTACCAGCACAGGCCCTGCTTAGTTTGGGATCATACAGCCACGTGTAAAATGTGTGATATTATTATTCTTCTCTCAAATGTCAAGTCAAATCCAGGTACAGCGGCAGTCAAATACTATCAGGGACCCATGTGCTCTTTTGCTCTCTATACCATTAAAAAGAAGTAAAAATAGACAAGAATACATCTCACACACAGCCGTCTTATTCCAAACTGGATACACCAGGTTGTACAGAGTCTATAACTATCGCAAGAAGACTGCTGATAAACATAAACTCAAAACTAAAAATATCTTTATATCATAACAATTTTTTTAATTTTTTTTGTCATCGTCTTAGACTCTAAAGCCATAGATCAACATACACAATAGCAACAATCTGTTTTGTCAAATATTTAGCAAAAGGAAGATAATTAATTACATGCCTCTGCCCATATACAACCACCCCCTTCCAAGGGGCCTTATGAGAAGAAAGGGCAAATAAAGTCACGGCCACTCTTTTTTAATTACAGCTAAATACAGTTGTGTCATTAAATATACAACAACATTGTCTTAATATGTGCGCCAGTATGTCATTTATTAAGGTCTAAAATGTAAAAGCTATGAAGAGAAAACAAGATAAAGAAATAAGACGGAATAGCATTGAAAGTAAAGTAAAACATAAAAAATGAGAAAAATGAATAAAAAACATACTAGCCGACGCTATATACCTTTAATTAGATCATTAAATGTATACAATACGTACACTGTAGATAAATTACACTGGGATACATAACAAATTATCGAATTATTTATTTGTCTAGAGAATTGAACACACGATCTCTGTATCAATGGTCATCATCACTAATCACTAAACCAACACATCAGTCAAACAACCCACTTAATGATTGCAATTTTATATACCTTTTGAATTTTCTAACTATCACTCAGTATTATATCTTGCGACAAATCTCTCACGTAGGACGTCAGAAGCCAGCTCATAGCTGACCTCAGGGTCACAGGGCCAATGGACAATTGACCCCGTAATTCGTCATGTCCTGGCCGTTAAGACTGGATTTACATTAAAGTGGTCAATTGAATTATTATGAGCATATGTGACATTTATAGATACTTCACAAATCACATTCATCATCAACAGCCTTTAATAGTCTACTGCTGGACATAGGCCTCTCCTTAGTAAGGTTTTGGCTTACTATACCACGCTGGCCAGACGGGTTGGTATAGGGTTTGTTTCAAGTTTTCCTTCTCTTTGCTGTGCTGTGATCCTGCAAAGTTTGCTCTCTTAGCCGTCTCTTGCGATACCCACGGGATGAATAGAGGTGGTACACTTCGTATTTCACACAAAAAATCACATTACACAACATGAAAACATTTTTTTTTGCTTGAACGCACTAACCTTAAAAACTATCATGCCGATTTGTATTGTCGTATGCGCTATGATCTCCAGGACTAGAGCAGTAAGTAAACATTTAGAATATTCTCAGTAAAAGTACTACGATTCTTTTAAAATTTAGCTTGGTTGACTGATTTTATATCGATAAAAAGAGAAAAGTAGATTTCGGCGTTTTTAACTGAATGATATTTAAAAGTAAACTATCTGTACCCTGCCACGTTTCACACACATTGTGGTCGCCTTGATGTGAAATTAGAAAAAAAAATTGACGCAAAATACTTAAAAACAATCCTTGAAGCGGGTTGTATATCGTGTCAAAATTTGAGCTCAATCGGTGCAACACTTTTTGAGTTTTTGAAGCGTATACAAACCAACTTAAAGAAAAAATTACATAACACTGGTTTTCTGAGAGGCTGGACAAACGATTATTTAATAAGACATGTTATAATAAGATAGTATTAAAATACTTTTGCATGCCAGTTCGCTTGCAAAACAAAGAATTTCAATCTTTAAATTTTTGCAGAATCAGTGTTTTACGTAAAAAAATGTAGTATTATCACAGAAATAAAACCAAGCATTGTGATTCAAAACATCCGATTATCCGAAACATTACATAAGGCAAGTTGAAAATGGCTCCGAGTTGAGAGCACAGCTTCCCAAACCCTCCCTGGGGGGAAACAAACCGTTTTCTTCTTTCACGCAAAAGTGACTTTAATTCCACAAAAATATTACTTTGAGTTTCGGCCCATGCATACTGAACGGCCTATTACAAACTTATTACAGCTGATGGGGGAGACCTTATGTTATTAAAATAAGGGTTTATTTGCTTGTTTTATATTCAGGGTATGTTTGTAAGAAATTAAAGAGGTAATTAGTAAGGATTACAGTTAAGGCTTGAAGATAGATATTGGGGTCGACAGAGACGGCGGTACTTAGCATATTTTCTTGGCGATTTTTGTAATCATTTTATTAGCAAGAGCAGTGATTAGCATGTTAATTAAATGTGAGTTGACCTTTTTTATAAACATAGCTGTTTATTTGGGAAGCAATAATAAGAAATCTACATTCTGAATAGTAAACTGTGGCGTTTTCTTTTCTTTAAAGTTGATAATCACTGAAAGTATCAATCCAATTTGGATAATTCTTTTCATAATAGATAGAGTATTGATTGAAACAGATTTTCAGCTCTGTAGCATCACGCTATCAGTTTTAGGAACGGAGCAGTGAACATAAATGTAGTATCTAAGTAATAAATAGTGTCAATTTTTTTTAAATAATCTACAGATTTACTTATAAATATTACAAGCATTATTATTTAAGAGCATAAATTCGAATGTCTTTATTTAAATTACTTTAAAATTAAAAGCTTCGTAATAGATAAAATACAATATTAACAGTTTAATAAAACTAATATAAAATAAACAATAAAAAACTAAACTTAAAAAAAGTTGGAGTGTTTCATATAAGTAGATTTCTATTGACTGCACGGCGCTTCCTACTGCGCCGAGTGTTGAAGGTTCGATCCCCACATGGATCACATTTTGTATGATTCACAAATTGTTGTTCTGAGTCTGGGTGTTCTTTGTGTCAGTTTCATGTATGTTTGTAAATTCCCCCGCGACACAGGATATAATGCGGGAGTTGTCTTTTTTTTAAAAAGAAAAATAAAAGAAATTAATCTGAACAATTATACATTTAAGTTAACCAAACAACTAAGTTTAGCTAATCTTGTTTGTAAACAAACAGTTTAAATTATGTAAATAACTTAGGCTATTAATGTTATGGTATTACTCACACCACCACAGTCCCTGACCCCACTATTCTACATATCATATATGGTGCAACACTACCATAAACCGGACAATAGTGGGATGATACATAGCCGACAGCGGCACGTGTCCTTTTTTTTTTTTTTTTTTTTTTTTTTCCGTGCGGGAAATCCCCTCGGATACCACCTGTCGGTGGCATGTCGGACTCGAACCGACTAAAACCGCACGCCTTCGCCGGGTACTAATAGCCGGGGAACCAGGTATACCCTAGAAAGGAAGGCCCTGGTGCCCCGACATACCTCGGGCCATCTACAGACGAGTAGACGACCCCCGCCCCGTGTGGGAACCCCATGTTCCCTGTGCTCCCTGAAAGCGAGCGCGCTTCGCAACGCGCTCGCCGCCACCCCGGCCTGCTTCTGCTAGGGTGACAGATGGCCTCACCTGTCACCCCCAGGCCTGCGCTTATGGAGGACGGAGGTCGTTCTGCGACCTCCGGCGCCTGAGTCGCCTGCGCTGCCTGGCCCGTGCCCGGGCCCTGGCGGGCCGGGAGAGTTTCTAAACCTCTCCCGGTCCCGCTCCGCCGTCTCCTTCGCGAGCATAACTTGCTCGCAGAAGGAGACGGCAGAGTTCCACGCACTCTCGCTCCGCACGATAGCCGCAATCAGGCTATCGAGCGAGAGAACTCCCACTCCGATGGCCGCCACGAGGTCTCGCCTCTGCTCAACCCACGCCGGGCACTCTGCCAGCGTGTGGAGAGCCGTGTCCACGGTCTGGCCATCGCAGTGGTGGCACTCAGGCGTTGGCTCCTTGCGGATCAGACACAGGTGATCTCCGAAACATCCCTTCCCAGTGATCACCTGCGTCAATCGGTATGAGAGGGTCCCGTGACGCCCCTCGAGCCAATCCTCCATAACGGGTCTTACCGCCGCAATGACGGCGTGCCCAGCGCTCGGTTGCCCGAGTCGTTCCCTCAACTCCCCTATGATGACCTGGCGGAGTTGGGA